TTTGTCGATGACGGTTTGACAGCAGAGTGGCTGCACAGAGACCACCCCGGCCCCGCGGGGCTTTCCCTCTGGTGTTCCAGTGGTCTTTCTGTGGATCTTGTTGAGTTCTAAGATCCAGCCACGAATTCAGTCCAGCCTCGTGTCCCACATACGGCAGTACCTCTCAAGGAGCCTTCTCGCCTCTTCTTCTCTCGAAAGCCTTCAGTGGGTGAGGCGTAATGAATCCCGTGCAATCACATCCGATCCGTTGAGGCACGACTTACGCGAATTCGAACCTCTCGTTCTCGCTCTATCTCTTGCTCTCTCTCTCTCTCTCTCTCTCTCTCTCTCTCTCTCTCTCTCTCTCTCTCTCTCTCTCTCTCTCTCTCTCTCTCTCTCTCTCTCTCTCTAGGAACCTTCGTTCCTTCCTTTCCCACTCGGTGGATGATATTGAAACGGCCGATAACGAATCGGCCCGCGTGAAACCTGTTTTTTGCATTTGCTGCTGCTGCTGCTGCTGCTGCTGCTGCTGCTGCTGCTGCTGCTGCCGCAGGCACGGATCCGTGAGCTCGTGGAGCCGATGGCGGAGGCGAGGGCGAAGATGGTAGAGGACGGCAAGGCAAGGCCCGCGGGATTCTTGACGGCCTCCGAGATCGAGCCCCTCTCCACGGCCTTCCGAAAGCTCGTGGGCCTCGACGAGATCCAGGGCAAGTACAAGTTCATGAAGAGCAAGAAGGCGCTGCTCAAGCCGCGCGTGGCCTTGTTGGACCTCATGCGAAACCAATTCGCTGTCAGCGGTGAGTGGCGTTTGCGAAGTGGCGTTGGCGGTTAAGTCTGGGAAGCTAAATGCAAGTTTTGCGGGGTGTTTTTGTCTGGTTCGGTGCCGACTCGTTTGTTTCTGCTTCTGCGTTAGTGCTCCTGCTGCTGTCTCGGCCGCACGGGTGTGCGCCTGAAAACATAGCGGCATTGCTTACGGCGGCAGCTTGTAGTCATGGACTGCTGTTTTTGCTGATTTTGCTAATGAAGATTTGTTCGGCCGCGTCCTCTGACCTGTAGTAAACCGCTTGTCGGTGAATCGGAGGTGGGCCCACCTCGAAGCGCCCTGCAAATCTTGCCGTTCTCATCCGCTGTCCCCCCCCCCCGTCTTTGTGCTGCTTCTACGCCGTTGTGCGACGTGACCGCCGTCCACACTCAAAATCAATTATTTTACAACACCACGTCCATCATCATGATCAGAGGAAGGCGATCTGACGGAAGAGAGCCTGGCGGCCTTCGTGGCCTCGTGGGATGCGGGGGAACTCGAGACCAAGGAGTTCAACTTGCCCGCCAAGGGTGAAGAGGGCGATGCGGAAGGCGCGGCCGAGTAGATGGTTGATTTTCCTCTTTGGTCGCTGTGTTCCAGACGGGTCGATTCCACAAGCTTGGACGAGAAGCGGATTCTTTCGTGGCTCTTTTTGTCGGTTCGTTTTGAAGCGCCAACTATTATGCCGCAGAGCGGACTCTGTCATGGTGTGTGTTTTCGCGCTCGAGTAGCGCAGCAGCAACGCTTCCTCGCCTCTGTTTCGTTCATCGTGGCCGTTTGGAAGCTGAACAGCAAGAAAAAACAGCATGCACGGGTGACGCCACTAGGGTTGATTTTCCGCTAGCGGATGATTCATGTAGGAGTGACCCGAGAAAAACCAGCATGCGCGGGTGACGACCCTACATAGGGTTGATTGTCCGCAAGCGGATGATTTATGTAGGTGTGGCCCGAGGTCAAGCGCGCGCGAGGGAGTTTTTGTGCGCCCCCCCCCTTTTTCTCTTGTTAGTTGGTTGTTGTTGTGGATGTGGATTTGTGGTGGGTGTCTGATGCTCGGGTTGGTGATGAATGACAGTCTAGAGTAGCAGTTCGTTCGAGCCGATCAACGTGGCAACGCCAAGTAGGCGTGTCTTTCGTGTGCTTTAAAATGTTCCAGTTTTGTGAAGAGGGAGGAAAGGAGAAAAGGATACTACTGCCGTGAGGGGGGGGGGGGGGGGGGAAGCCCCCCCGGAAACCCCCCCTCAAAAAAAAAAAGGGGTTTTCCTCTTTTTTTTTCCGCCCGGGAAGGGGCCCCCCCAAAAAAAAAAAAATAAAAAAAACCCCCCCCCTTTCCCCGGGGGTAAAAAAAAACCCTTTTAAAAACAACCCCCGGGCCAACCTTTATTTAAAACCCCCTGGGGGGGGCCGAAATTCGTTTGTTTCTCGTAATCTAAGGCCTCTCCGGGGGGTAGGGGTTTCCCCCCCCCAAATGGGAATCCCCCCAAAAAAATGTCCCCCCCCCCGGC